TTCCGACACTCCATTCGGTGGTGTAAAAATAATTTTCTCTATTTGGAAATGCTTTTTATGGATTTTCTGAATTACAGCGCATGCTCCATAGAGCGCGAAGGGGAATATCCAAGTTTAAGGCCCATTATTAATGCTGTTCTCTCCTTTCTTTTGAATCTCTTTTTTTTCAATAACTAATAATTTCCAGTAAATTATACCCCTAAAACAATTAATTAAAAAATTTATCGACTGATTTGGTCAATTAATTTTGTTTAATTACTCCCAGAAAAATTAATTTAATGTGAATCCATGAGTATCTGTTAATTATGAACATTAACTATGAAGAAAAGAGTTTAATAATTAATAATAATTTTGATATAAATATTACATTATTCATTATTATTCGACAAACATTATTCGACGGCCGAGGGACTTATCGGATTTACAAGGGAATGTTTTAATTATTAACAAACGAACATTCGTTAATATTAAATTTTTGAGTGGCTTAAATGTAATCAGTACAAATTCGCGGGCTCCACGCCTTCAATAATAATTACGCCTGATTAATTGATGTAAATGAAAGAATTATCAGGCGAATGTTCGAGCAAGTGGTTAAAGGTACTATTATTGGCTAATTACAGTAATTACATTAATTATCCTTAATAAGCAGTAATCCGTACGTCCAGACCATCAACCACAACTACTTATTAAAAATAACAAGGGATTTACAAAATTCGTGAAGTCGTAATGAAATAATTGAAAATAAAAATCCGAGACAATTGAAACAAATGAAATAATTACTGAAATAATAGACATAATTCAAACAATTAATAATAAATTCGAATAATTGAAACTTCGGAAATGACTGGACGGATGAAAATAAATAATCGAACTGAATTATTACTAAATACCGGTGATAATAAATAACACGTGATTTCATCTCAACTCCATCGTTAAGTAACCAAATTAGCAAATCATAAAATCGATTGATTGCAAAATATTTATTGGTGGGGTAAAAAAAAAAACTTGATCTCGATTGATCGACAACTCGTGATCACCGAATAAGCATAATTTTCTCTCCAACACGTTTCACTGGTAAAACCGAGAATTACGGCTAATTGGGTGAGCACCAGGTGGACTATTCCACATTTTTTTCGCCTGGGGCTCTCGCCTCCTTTATCCCGCAAAATATCCTAGAGAAAAAAAAAGTGGTCCCTAAGTAGAAAATGGTTTATATAGCATAACGCATTCTTCGGGCATTAAAGCAGATTGGACATATTCCATTCAACTTATTCAATTATAACATTATATTATTGAATTATATAAGTGAATTTTTAAACTCCTGGTGAATTCCCCCGCGAATATCTTTCCACGTGTTTTAACTATTTTATCTTTTTCCTCAACAACTTCTATAATTCACAAAACGAACATAAAATACTCACAAAATAATTAATTAAGAAATTAAAATAATCATTCGTCATTTAATTTATTCATTACTATTATTATTTTATTATTTTATTACTTGAACATGAACAAACGAGTACTACTTAATTAATTAGATGTGTGGTCGAGGCTGTAATTATTTTATTTTCAATATTGAAGTGATTCGTACATTTATTTCATTTTTTTATTTATTATATAAAGTCCAGGATCGAATTGGAATTCATGCTTATAAATTATTGAAAATGACGTTGGGACATCGTTGAAATAATTTCTATATAATTGAACTTTGGTTCTTCGTAGACGAAGGATTTTAATTAATCTGCTGGTAAATGGGAAAAACAAATCAATGGTTTCTCAGAGATTAGTTCATTTGATAAGATATAATGGTTTTGAATTGTCAAGTTGATTGGGCAATGGCCTCACCATTCAACAGGTGACACAATTCATTCAATCAACCGTCTGATCGATATCGACCCTTCGATACAAGTCCATAAATTCGAAAAATAAATAAATAATAATAAATAAATTGAATAATCGATTACTTACACCACATGAATTCAATCCGACGAAATTTCACTCATCAAACGAGAATTTCGTTAAAATTGACATAAATTGGCAAAGCTCCCGCTGGAGACAGGCTAATGGCAGAATTAATTGTCGCAAAAATAGCGACTTGCCCCGGAGCAATGGGGATATTTTTTTTTTTTCAACGAAATATTAATTCCACGAAAGTAGATCGTGACGATGATGTAATTGCGGTAATGGTCGCGTCCTGGGTATTGCTGGAATCGACTCGTGTCACAGGTTTATTCGAAAAATCGATCAGCTCGATCGATTAAGGTTGTTGTCGCGTAGAATTTTTTTTCGACAGTTTTCGTTAAAAATTTTATGGTGAATAGTTTGAAAAATTAGCAACAAAATGAGTCTTTTCCGTTTGCAATTGACCGTTTTGAACTTGAGATATAAATTTTTGAAATTCGAGTGATTTAACACGTGTTTAAATGGAGTTTTGCCGATTAGAATTTTTTTAAAATCAACGGCTCGACAGTTTCAGAAATAAAAAAAAACGTGGAATATACATCGTGGGAGGAAATACAGAAAAAAAAATCAAATCGATTGACCGTTTGGTTTACGGAATATAATTATCGGAAATTCATAAATTTATATAATTGAAAATAGTTAATATGGAAAATATATAGTTATGCTTTAGCTATCCATGCACAATGCAATCAATCAAGTGAGACTATATACCGCTAAAAGATTGTGTTCTAAACTGGCCCGTTTTACAGCGGATAAACTTTTTACAGAGACTGTCGCGCGACAACAGCCTTAAGCCATTGGACAGCCCTCGTGGCTTTCGCGAAATATTTAAATCATGGGAATATCGAGCGAGAAAAAGAAATGCCACTTAAATCATCATCAGAACGGATCATAAATATTATTCTCAAAAATACTAATCTCATTTCAATTAATAAAAACTGATGAGAGAAAAATTGATGCTTTCAGAAAAAAACTCATTAGTACAGAAACTCTCGGTTTTATAATTTCTCATTTCATTTTTCAATTCAACGGTTGACCGGCAAAAAATAAAAATAAAAAAGAAATTCGACTGTTCTGATCTAGAAATAATTAATAAACGGATCTGAAGAGGAATGCGTACCGCAGGCAAAATGAAATTTTGATATGTTCACGTTTTTATCAGACAATTTATTATTTTCACTGCGTTTATTTTTTTATTATACTACATGGTGAATAAATGTCGGGTTAAATTTTACTGTGCATTGTTCCCTGGTAATGCGAGAGTGAATTTACTTCATAAACAATTTCGTAAGTAAAATTCAGAACGAATTCAGTGGACAGTTACTTTTTACACGTATGACGGTTCATAATCATAAAATACGAATTTTTTTAGTGAAAGTCATATAGTACGTTGAATAATTTATATACATTCAAAACGGCGAAGAATGCTATTCTAAATTTCAAGATCTAGTTGGAAATGTTGTGTAATTCCCCATAATTTTTGAATTACCGGAATTCGTTAAATTATCATATCCATTACGCGTAATAACTTAAGAGCGTCCGTTGGCACTTCAATTTCTAAAATTTCGTAATTATTCAGAAAGGAAATAATAAAATCGGAGTGAATTGATTTTCAAATTCTGTTTTATTATCACTTTAACTAAAGAATTATTTATAAAAAAATATCAATTGGAAAAAAATTCTCCGACATGAAATCAATAATTAAAACAATTAAACAAGATAAATTCGCCGGACTTTGTTATTTCCGGATAAAATAAAATACAATTACAATTCGCCCCAGATTTTAATATAAATTTCTCCTCGTGCACTTCGTCATTATTCCCTGAATGATTCTAATATTTTCAAGATGAGAATACGTCAGCAAAATGGGAAAGGGAAAGAAACTTTTTCCGATTCCGGATGAAGAGCGTTTATCATCGTTTTTCTGATTCGATCTTATCTTTCAATCGGGCGACTAAAGCCGGAGTTATCACACTTATCACTTTGAAATCCACTCAAGGAAAGTATCCGAGAAAACGCGAGTCTAGAAGCATTTCCCCACACGTAGCAACATCTCGGCGAAAGTTGCTAATACATACAAGTTCGACTTTTCTCCTTTTTTTTTTTATTTCTGCCAATCCCCGACTGCAGACTTCATCAATGAGTCGTTCCACACATTCATTCACCTTGAATTTCTATTCCGTAATTATAAACTCCGTAAGAACGCAGATTCATTATTTATTTAATAAATTATTCTATATTATTTCGACACTTATGCTAATTTATCAAATTATACGAATTAATTCAATTAATCACATTATTTTTTTATTTAAATTGGTGGAATAAGAGAACTCTGAATTTTTATTTATTACTGTATATTTTCCATTTTTTATCATTATTTTGTTATAAATATTGGAATGTTTTGAGATTTTTTAAACCAAATTTGGAAATATTTTGGAGCAACATTCAATTGATTACGCAAAAAAAAATAAGACTGTTGGTGCACAGCTTATGTTGTCCCTCAGATGTCAAAGAATCTGTAGATCTAGGAGCGATAAAATTTAGGGTTCGAAGGTGAGAAACACTCGCTCAATCTCAATCTGTCAAACGGTACATTCACGCCAGTTTCACCTTGGACTTGACAAACTACCTTCACCCAAGTAGACCTTGCAGTGGCTTGTGCACACTCAAGACATGACGAGGAAGTGGTGGTTAGTTATTATACACACAAGCGCGATTAATCTGCCTACACCAAACGCCGAGGGAAATGAAAGGATCAGTTCACATTATTTTTCCAACAATCTACTCCGTGTCTACCACCTCGTCGACCTTCACCCCCTGGAAAAACGAATAATTGCTTTTGTTGGATGTTGTTCTATCGAATTTTAGTGTTTTCAATTTTTCTATACACCAATTCATTCCAGAAACATGCACAACAGTTTTCCCATTTTTTATATATTTTAATCAACTCTGGCACTTGATTACACTTTTTGTACACAATTTCATTATTTTTTTTACACGGAAAAAAAAGTCTCCCTTTTTTCTCTTCTCGAAAACAATTTTCTAGATTTATGAGAACAGTTTTTAGAAGTTTTTTTTGAGTTTGGGAATAATTCCATTATTTTTTCTCGCATCCTACAAGAGAAAACCAAATATTTTGTCAAATGTATTCAAAATCCGCCATATATATATATTCCTTACATTTTTCCATGGGTTCGAAAGACGATTTTTTCTAGATCTGTAGAAAATATGAATTACAGTATTTAAATTAATTGTTCACGCGTTGAAGATTCGGCATTGGCTGTCAACATTTTTCAAAAGAGCCCCGCCAAAAACGCGAACAGGAGTTCTGGTCCATGAAATGAGTAATTTAGATCCTCCGAGGTAAGGACTACCCCGTCCCTCCTCGCAGTGATAATATCCAGTTTCAATCAGCCTCAATCCCAGAGGTACCTGCTTCGCCTGCCTGGTACCCCTGATCCGGAGAGCCCTGGGATTCCCGGGTTTTCGTGCATACATCGCTGAAGGGGGATAATTAGGGTATATCGGACGCCGTCGTCCAGAACTAATGCCTTCCCCACCCACTGGAAATTTCGGAAAGTTGATGGGCGCCATTAATAGTCCATCGTCCAAATGATTTATCTCGATAAATGTTGATTCCACATCGAAGGCCGATACCAGCAGGAGATTGAACCCCAGCACTGCACCTTCTATCCCCTCTTCAAGACCTTTATCGAAGTCCGTGTACTCCTGACCGACAACTATGTCTCCACCTGCTGGTATCACTTGTCCCGCCATCTAGAACACGAGGTCATAACTTCAGATCATGACAATTTTGCTGATGACAACGGGAATGCTCATGATAATACAGAGATCTTATCATCATGAGAATATATCTGTTGCGAAGTGCTAAACTAGGATGAGTGCATTTTTTTCAACATCAATTTTTCGACGATTTCTCGGAATTGAACGAAAATAATGATTTTTTCATTGATACCTTTTTTGTAGCTCTCATCTTTTTCGATAAAAAATGTTTATGCAAAAAAATCGATATGTCACTTCGATCCCGAGATATCGGCCAGCGACTGGACTCGAAAAAAAAAATGCGCCCATCGTAGCTTATCATTACGCTACTGATATGGAATTTAAACAATTTTATTTAAACAATTGCGATTTTTCGTGTTTCTTCTCCAATTTTCATTTAATTTTTTAATGAAAACTTGGGAATCGCCACGGGATAAATTTTATCAAATATTGCGGTGTGATGTGGTAATTTGACGGATTATTATGCACCTCTGGAAAAGTGTCATCCACTTTTATTTTTCCATCAATCCACAACCCATATCGTCCCTCACGATTATCCCAACTCTGGCAAATGTGGTACCACTGGTTCTCCAGAATAATTGTCGGCTCTGCCATTATCTCGATTTTATTAATTTCCAGGTGAATGCTTCTGCCAAATGGAGATATCCAGGCACGCACTAGACGATCTGTTCCATTTTCTGGAAAATATACAGACAATTATTCCGAATATTACCCGAACAATTGCTATTGTTTCGCCATTAACAACAACTCTTTTCCCCGTAATTCAACTAGCATTGTAAATTTTTATTGCACATCCTCATACACTCATTACATTTCGTCTCGTGTCGATGAAATTTTCACATCGACACAATTTCGTTATCGTTTTTTACTGAATTTTCAATTTTTGTTTCTACTTCTCCGATTTTATTTCATCGTTAATTTATTTATCACTAATAGGAATAAGACAATTGAATCTAACAATGCCCAACTTTCACATTCAACTTCGTTTAATCTCTATTTTGTATTTCACTCGTGTTTACAAACAGAAAGGAAAGATTCACCACTGACATCCCGTAATCAAACAATCCCACAATTACCCGCATACCCTGCCCTCCACACTCGTTTCCACGTGATGAATTGAATAAATTTATCTTACATCGCTAATTACTTACTCGAATAGGAGAATATTGAATGTGGGTATGTGAGATTCGTAGACTTGACCCACTCGCAGAATGTAAATTCATTGATTTCCGGGACTGACAGCTGCCAACGGAGAAACTGCCAACATTTTACAAATAAATATATGCATATAAATACGTGTAACACATACCTATGTATAATTAATATACACTTATATCCCGTTTTTCGTGCGGCTAATTATCACTCTCCAAACTTTTGGAAATGTAAAATCCTGGAGACTCACCTGAATATATCCCCGTTGGGTGAGAACAGCTTTGTATATAGAGGCCCGAGTGATCCTTCCGGTTTGAAATCCCCCAGGAGTTCTGGCAGCACTAATTTCCTCGACAACATAAATCTCGATGGAAATTAAAAGTGTCATCCACACCCAGAAGCCGTGCATGTCCCTCTCAATTCCCTTCAACCGGAGTCAACGCGAAATAATCAGAAATCATAAATCCTCGGGGGCCCCAAAAAAAAAAATTGAATCAATACTCGATAAAAATCTGATAAATGACTGAGTGAGTTCTCCAATTGTTCCAGTAGTTTCTCCAGTTGTCCAAGTAGTCTTTCCAACGTCCGGAGACCGTTCCAAGTGAATCGCAAATCGATGCAAAGTGGCCAGAGTCCCCGGTAAATAAACCAAACGAATCGTTGGATTTTTAGCTGATCCGAGCAGAAGGGGATAAGAACCCGCGGCTATTCTGTATTGTGACGGATTCGCGTGCTCCAGGACTTTTTTCAACGCTAATTGCCCATTCAATCACTGTCCCACTCGAAAAAAAAATCGAGTCTTGCCTCAGTGTCGCCTAGACCCGGAAAAAAATTCGTTACCACGAATAATCGCCGTTTTCACACGTTTTTTTCACTGATTTATATTTATGTTTATTTTTTTCATGCAATTTTATTAATTGAACTCAATTTATTTTCCATATACTTTTGTTATATATCATGAAATATATGTGCATGTATATATAAAGATAAAAAATAGGAAACAAATTGAATATTTTTATTAATAAAAAATTCATTATTGAAAAATAAATTCAGTAGCGAAGGGATAGACTCATGTAAGTCGACTTGACTGACCGATTTTTCTGAAAATCTCGAAATCTATCAGAGATATAAAAAAAGTCATCCCAATCTTTTTTGTAGAACTAATCGAGACCTACAAATAAGGTTTAGATGAAAATTCACCAATCTCCCATAATTCCGGGGATATTTCGGAAAAACTCACCACAGGCCCAAGTCGACTTGGGTCCGGTTGGATTGAACCCTCGGCCGCTACGAATTTTATCTGAAGAGCTTTAAAAATCCATCCAAGTGGCAACACCTCGTCCATCACAAGTGATATCTCCTGGTCCCTTTAACCACTGAAATATCACATTATTCCCCGGGTGTTGAATCGATACGTCCAGCCTCCCTCTGGCGCTCGGAAGTTATGAATACCCATTTACATTATACACATTCCCATCTCTCTTTGCACCTAGTTTTTTCCTCTTTTTTTTTTTAATAAACTAGAGCATCCTCTCGGCCTCATCGATCGGGCAAAAGGCCGCCTACTTACACAGCACGCATGGCACATTCCACTCTGCACACGCCTCTACAACGAATATACGAGACCTCCACTTGTCTCATCGTTTTCTCCAAGACGTTATAAAACAAGCCACTGGTGGTTGGCCCCCCCTTCGACGCAGTTGTCCCAACATTCAACCTGGAGAAATTTAAAATTCCAGAAAAAGATAAAATCCTCTATTGAACTTGATGATTGCTCTGATGATTTCGTGCTAGGAGAAGATTTACGGATTAGTGCCGGTTGCTTGTGGTGAAAAGTCACTGAAATGTGGTGGGATAATTTTAAATATTGAGAGGACAGGGTAAAGGACAAGGTAGTTAGACCTTCTTCATCCCTTGAGTGTCGAGTGATTAAAGAGTGCTTAATGTGGGTTCCGCATGAATTCGTGAGAGAAAAAATATTTTTTTTTGTGGAATTACTTGATTAATGGAATTAGTAAATAAGTGAATTCAGTCGGGGGTTGAGGGGGAATTTAATGGGGTTGTAGAGTCGAGGAAATTTTGAAGTTCAGGGTTCAAACGGTTTCTACTCGTCTCTAGTTTTTTATTCATATTGAGGGACCGAAGGAAGATACGAGTGTTCTTCGTAGGACCTTTTTTGTGGGTCGGATTGAGGGCTTTAATTAAGGTGGTTATGAAAATTTGTGTATCTTCGCTGGATTTGGCAATATTCACTGTCGACTGAACGTTCAATCGACTTGAAAAGAAAATATCTCAATTTTATTGAGATCAATCATCTCGAGAATTCGGAAAATTCGACTTCCTCGTTTTACTTGACTACCGATTCTGTTCTACCGAGAACTGGTTTGCAAACCTGTTCGTTTTTCTCTGGATCCTCCGTGATTTTGAGAAATCTGGAGGAGTGAAAACAACTATTGTATAATGCTCCACTCGACCACCTGTTTTGTTTACGTCGTTCGAGAATTGCGACTAACATATCAAAATGCAAAACCCTAATTTCATATAATTCTAAATAATCGAATTGCTTTCTCGAATTTCAAAGAAGCTGTACCATCCCCCTTGTCATTTTTACAAATAAAACAATAATAATTATTATAAACTAAAATCCTGAAAGAAATGACCAATAAAATTACTATCGAGATAAAAACACTGTAATAATTGAAAAACTTAAATTACACTATTAATATTAATTAATATTATAATATTGAAATCAGAATTCGGGGATAATAAATAATAATATTTTTTAAATATTGAACTTTCAATATAATTAGAGTTTATTGTACAGATAGGGGATTCAAGTGATTAATGAATATTTTTTATTTATAATCAACCAGACGGCGAAGAATTCTACATCTGGAAATTATTACATCAGTGGAAGCAGTACATTACCCAGAGGTGGACCAATCATGAGAGCCTATAGTCCAGCAGCGCCTGTTCTTGCTGGACCAAATGCAACCCCAGCACAACCGAAGACTTTGGGTACTCCAGGTACAGTAAATGCTCCTCCAATCACTCCACCCCCAAGAAAATTAGCATGAACTGTGAAAAATCCTGTGCACGATAACACTTTCTCCCGAATTTATTTACCCCAATCGTTGGTTCATCAATTAGTATCCTGTAATCGTAGAATGCATGCCAAAATTTCCAGGATAAATGTCTCGCTCCATTCTACTTCGAGAGATTCAATAGATTATTAAGTAATAATCTCCAAGAAATTTCGGAGAATCTTGGAGATGAATAGATTTTTTAATACGCAAGTGGTATCCATTGACGGAAATCCTGTTCGTCCACTGAAGAAGGAAATTGTTGCATATCAAAATTACTGGCGAGAGAATTCCCTGGGTTAAAATACCCCCGCGTGCAGATTCCCCAGGTCAATATTCCCATTTACCTCGTGCAAAAATTTTTCGCGAGAAAACGAGACATTCAAAAGAGAAAGTCTGTTGCAGTGAAATTTTCGATAACTTCAAATTTGCAGCGAACGATTTTCGTCTCTCATTCCGCCCGTCGAAAAAAAAAAAATTCAATTTTCCAGAATTGAGACCTCGAATGTAAAATTACAGATAATTTTTATTTAATTCCCAACTGTCAATAATTAATTTTCAATTTCTTAATCATTATTTCCATTTTTCTATAAAAAAAGAAGATTAATTATTTCATAGAAATAAATAAAATAAATGATAAATAAATAAATAAATAATGATCTATCATAATAATCGGATTGCATTCTAAAATTCGCGAATTTTACTTCCAAATTCCGATGACGACGAAAAGTAAAGTTTTCACAACTGAGAGTTCCAACTGAAATAGTGAATAATTAGACCTTTGGCAATATGACCTGGGTGGGAGAGGGGTTTCTTAACAGTAGGCTAATCAATCTCTGTGTAATTGTTGGTGTTCTCCTGATGTAAAATACTTGGATAGGTGGTGGAGTGGCACCAGCCAAGCCGCTCCGGGGATACCAGTGCGGTAAAACACCCCTTGGCAGCCTAGGGGGCTCTACACGATTCTCTAGAGACAGCTCTATATCCCTTTATAGTATACCAGGTCAGTGGAATCCTTAAAGCTTCGACCAACGGCGCAATCTTTCTTTTATCCCCAGGGGAATTACGCAAACAGCTAAAAAATATGCCACCAACCCCCTGCGGCTTCGGGTCCACCATTTCCTCCGGTATCACTGAAAATCTAATCACACCGTATTCTCATAATCATTACTGTTCACACTCTCCAGGCTATCAGCCTCATTATTCACGACAGGTTAATAATCTGTAATTCACCTGTCAGCGTTGTTGTCAATTTGAAAAAGGGCTCCGGTAATTGATTCTTGAATTTATTTATTTTTTATTAATCCCTGTAGAATATTCACTTGTGGTTTGATATTGTTGGTGAATCAGTCGAATTTTTTTTGGTCGTCGATTCATTAATTTTTTTTTTTTCTTTTCTTTATTGAATGCATGATTCGTTGTCACGCCACGATTTGACGGTGGAAGGATGGAAGACACTTTCTTTTAGTTTTGTAGAAACCAGTAGAACTTGAATTGTTATAAAGGACGAGGAAAGTCGTTTATCAGATGTGGTGATGGCACTAAATCTCACGCTTTGGTGTAATTACACGGGTGGATATTTTTGGTTGAGGCTTGAAAATTATTATGAAGAAATTCCCGAAAATTTCAGTTTTTAATTAAAATCTAGAGACCATGATTTTTTTTTTAATTTCAATAATTCCAGTCATATTTCTAAATTTTAACTTCTTAAATTATTGTTTACCTTTTTTCATCATTGCAAACTTTGAAGTATTTCAATAAAAATAAACAATTAATAAGACGAGTTAAAATTGACATAATTTGGTAGAGAATATAATAATTGGATTGCATCCTTAATGAATTTTGAAATTTCAATTTTTCGCCAGTACAGTAACATAATTTCTCCAATAAAATAAAAATGTCCTGAAGGTGAAGATGAATGGAAAGTTACAATGAATTTAACTAAAATTGTCAGATCGTTTACACGGAGAAAGCGGCTACATGAGCAGTCCAGAACGCAGTGGAGGAGTGGGAGGTGGAATTTCGAGGTACCCGGGGTACAGCACCCAGAGCAGCTACGAGGAGCCGTACTATTCGCAATATTCTGGCACAGTAACGCCAGTAATCGACGAAGAGGCCAGGTAATTCCTACATTCCACAAAAATTCAAAAATCCGTCAGAATGCACTTACTCTGTGTTCCATGAAACCTACAGCTTCTCAAAAAAAAATGAGAATTTACTAAACTAAAAAATAAACGCACAGAAGAAACTGCAAAAGTACTTTTCACGGAGATAATTTACCTTTCAATTATCCCCTCATAATTATTGCAGAGAAATTCATCCCAGATCTCTCGCATTTATATATTTATTTAATATTCAAAAAAACTGATAATTGAATATTTCCTCAATTAAAAAAAATGATTATGCATAATTACTTCAGTTGGAATTCAATTTTGATTGAATTTGAATTAATTAATAATAATATAGATAATGATAATTTTTTTTCGTGAGTCAATCGTCAATTCACATTTCCCACGAAATGATAAATTTCTCGAAAAGGTGCTCGAAAGCTAGTATTTTCTGTGTGATAATTTGGAAATCCTTATATAAAATAAATATAAAAATGAGAATAAGATAAATGGTTTGTTGGGGTGGCGGGGTATAGCGATACAGAACTGTTGGAGGAATCATACAGTCTGTATGGGGTTAAACCACCGGGTCGTCCACCGTCAGGTCCCCCAAGATCCCCGTTCCCTCCAGGGGCGCCCGCACTACCCGGGCAGACCTACGACGTAACTCGGTATCAAATAATCACAAGCATTATAGATAAAAATTCAATGAATGATTGAAATTACACGCTATTTTTCCACAACCTCGAAAATAATCTGCGAGCTTTGAAAAAACGAAGAACTATTTTATTTTCTTGGTACTTTGTTATCAATCCTTGCTTGATGCTTCTGAATGAGAGTAGAAATCGAGAATAAAGTGATAAAATTAAAATATCAATGCGTGGATGACTGAAGGATAGAAGAATGAACGATTGTACATTAGACCTAAAAGACAGCATGTGTCAGCACGTATGAAAAAATTCTAGAATAATCCACAGTAAGTGAATAAAAAATTGAATTTCCCCCGTCCCCCGCCCCCGAATTCCATATCAAGCTCCTCTAATTTTTTTTCATACGTAAAGATAATTAGCGATTGAAAGATGGAGAGAAGAGATAAGAAGTGTAAGAAGCAGATGAAAAATCCCACCAGGAATCTAAAAATATAATTGATAAATCAATGAATGCAGCATGCCCTAATATCGCATAATAAAAACATGTGAAACGCACGATTAGATGCACGAAAACTAATCAGCTGATTGGTATCCACTAGTAAATAGTATCGACTGATAATCATCATCAAGAGAATCAGTTCGATGATAACGATTGATATGGCTAAATTAACAGTAATTAAATATTGGTTTATGATAATGATAAATACTAATGGAATAATTCTCCCCAATAGGATAAGGGTGGAACACATGGAGAGACAGCTTGCTAATTTAACTGGTCTCGTGCAAAAGGCCCTAACCCATGCTCCACACACCAGTCCATCACCCAGGGACTATCTCCAAGTCCCAGCTGGACGTGATCCTTATGCCAGAAGTGCAGGTATAACTCAAAAATCATCTTATATTAAAATATGATCATCTGAGTGAAATCGCTCACTCTATTCAAACGACGAATTTCATATAGATACTTTTAAATCACCAGCAGAACTAGCGTAAAGCTTAATCCGACGTTCATATGAATAACACTTAACTGTTGAGATTGGAAATAATAACGTATGATTATAATTCACTAATGAGGCGAGACGCATCATCGTAGTGCACGCAACTGCCATTAATACAGTGAGGAATTAGATTTCAACATTTTTAGTTCTTTCATTTCAATTCATTTCAGTTATTCATTTGTGTTAGATGTATTCACGAAAACTATACAGTACGCTAATTTCGCATAGAACATGAACTTTTGTGATAGTTGATCAGGAATTAAGCAACCGCTATTTCATACAGCAATTTTTTTTTAACCGAGTGGAAATTATCGGTCTTGCAATAATCCACGGAGTAAAAGTCTCGAGAAAATTCCCCAAAAATTAAAAAAAAATAATTCAATTTATGGATACGTAATGGATTTATGGATCATGTACTGTACATTTTTTTAGAAAGAATTTATTCGAAATTGGGACAATTATGGAATAATAAAGAAGAACTTTTTGGTTTCATTCTCAAATGAATGAAATTCTCAGTGCAGTTTTTTGAATGGAGAGAAATTAGTGAGGAAATTTAGAGGAAATAATATTAAATTTGATAGTTATTGTGTTTAGGGAGATTTTGTTTGAGAAATATTGGCCCGCGGAAAGACTCGAACTTTCATAAATAATTGGTGAAAAGTTTGTTAACATTGTTTTTTTTTTCTAATTTTCTTGACAAATTGGGCTGTATAAATGGGTTGCTTAACTTCTGTTTGAACCAATACAAATCCTGGAACCCTGCTGTACAACTGCTTCGTTATTTCGACTAATGCACACCAGGCGCCGGGGATGAGTTCGACAAACACTCTAGCTCCAGCTCTGCCTCACTGCCAGGTGTGTCTCCCATCTCTAACTTTCAATATTTTATTTCAATTAATGTTTCTATGGTTGATGATTTTGTCGATAAATTCATTTCAATTATTTTTCGCTGATCAATAAAATTGCGCATTTTTGTCCAAAATTGCTTGACAACTCGTCACTGATTCACGTCATCATAAAGATTTTTCTTCTCCACCTGCCGTTACAGATGACTCGTACTTGAGGACTGATGTTAAACCACCGAAATTAGGCAAAGGTGCGATACACTCTAATGATTTTTTTTTCTCTTCATCTCTGTTGGTCGTTTTTGTTTTAATTGCAGCATCGAATTGCATGATTTAGAGGAGAGCTTGTCACTCAGCTGACATCAGTGTTGGATGAGTTCAGTATCGGATTGTTCCATTTTTCGTTCATTACCCGTTGTTTATTGGTTGAGGGTGTCTCAGGATATTTCAGGATTTTTATTGATGTATTACAGACAAGTCGGTGTCCTTCGAAAAATCCGTTTCGTTCAGTGACGAGCCACCAGACATGAATTCACCCAAACAACACTCACCTCAACATGCAGGTAAAAAAAAAAGATTTCAATCATTATTCGGTACCATTACTAATTGCTGTTCAGGAATTACTCTGGAAAATTATCGACCGTTTTTTAAAATTCAAAATAATTTTGTGACTGAAATTTCAAAAAATTTTCAACAGAGCAGCGAATGAATCTTAATAGAATCAAACAAATTATTTCTCAATTAATTCATTCATTAATTCTCAATGCATAAAAAAATAATGAGTACGCAATGAAGGGGTTAATGATTTCTTTGATTTTAACATTCGGTTGGAGAACTTAACAGCTAATCATTCAGCTCGTGTACACTAATCATAACTGGCAGTCACTAACAAATAACTTCTTCATGCTTTCATTTTTAATCTAACAATCCTGTAATTCCGAAAATGCCACGTGCTAGCGGATACAAAACCGACGAAACCAGCAATCAAGTCATCCACTTTACCACGGATGTCTTCGCAAGGTAAAGAATTATCAACTGCTTTTCGAACTAAAATAGTACCACCGAAGACAATACCGAGTATTTGTATTAACGAGACGATATAAAAGTATCGATGTTTAACTGAGTCGTTATTGCCTTGAAATTTCAGAGCGAGATCGTCATAAACCCAATTTACCCCCCAAACCCGTGGCCCTCGCCACTGGTGGATATGTCTACCGCGATTTGGCCCTGACACCAGAAATGTATAATCAACTCAGGGGTCTTCAGAAAAAAGCTAAAGATCTTCGTCAAGAAGTTCGTAATCTCAGGAGAATGTCGCAGGCCCAAGCTCACACGGTCAGAGAAACAATTAGAGACACTTTCATCACGATTCGGTGAGTCCTCAAACTATTAAAAAATTCCTTTCAATTGCTGCCCATTAAATGAGAAATCCAGAATTTAACGGATAAAAAATAGAATCTTGACTTATCCCCAAACAGGCGACAAACTTCTATAAAAGACTTCCGATAATCAAAGAAACGATTAACCCTCTGTTGTTATTTATAGAGCAATGTTATTATCGGGTGGTGATGCGGCATGGGCAGCTGGGGACTCGGAGAAAATAAGATTGAGCCGCGAAGAGGACCTCTACAAACAAGAAATGATTAGGCTGGAAAAAGATCTCACGTGAGTAATCTTAAAAGGAATAAATAAAAATAAAGTATAGAATTAACTTTATCCAATTAACAGCGAGCTAGAGAGTACGGTGGAGGAACTGCGGGGAAATGTGATAAACAGAAAGACACGTGTCAACATGTCGGACGTCGAGAGCATGGCATTGGTTCTGAGTAAATCCAGGTAGTAACGCGTTGAATACAAAAATGCCATTATCCGTGGTCATTCGTCATCATTCTTATATCCATTTATTTCAACAGCAAAACAGTAGCAGATCTCAAAGTACGTTTCCCAAGCCTCCAGGAGGGTATGAAAGGCCTTCTGAGTTCTGAGATGGAGAAGGTAGTGAGGGAGGAGAAATTCCTCAAGGAAGAGCCAGAACGACTCGAATCTGCTCTGAGGCGGTGCAAGAAACTCACTGGTACCCTCGTCACGCTCAAACGGTGAGAATCTATTTAATATTCAACAAATTAAATGACTACATCGATGCAATTATTTTTATATGAATAATTTTAGCTTGGCCTCGGTGCAAGAGCAACGATTACCAAACGCAGTGAGCCTAGACTCTGAAGAGACACCACCAATAACCCCAACATCAGCCCAACACTCAAAGGTAACAGCAGCCCCGAAATAGTTGAATTGATAACTTAAAATAATCCCTTCACTCCCCAAATTCTTTCCCCAGAGCTGAAATTTCTTTCAATTGCACGAAACGAAATTCAACCTTCAGCAAATTGCTTGAAACACATAGATTAGTCATTGTCATATCTGGTTTATAAGTTTTACCGTTTGAAATTGGAGTGGTGCATACATCAGCACCGATTAATTAACATATTATTTCGATTTGTCATTTTGATTTGCCACAGTGCCGCTTTTTAATTCTTGCGTTTTAATTTATTACGCGCAAAGTTACGACGATAATTCCATGATGACTGTTTCATTAATCATTGAATTTACGGAGTTCGAGCAAAGAGGAAGAAACTTTCCCAGCTCAGTCAACTTCACAAATTTTTGTATAATTTATTTATACATGAGGAAAAATGGAATTTGTGAATTTAACTGTATACCGCTTCACTCCCTTCTACATTAGTAAAGGTTTATAGTACCACCCGCCTCGGCGCATGCAAACGAGTGTCATAGAAACGTGTAAAAAATATACGAAATTATTTGATAAATTTGCACATATATTCGTCCACAGGCTAGACATTTATGTGTGCAACTGTATCGACTGTACAAGTATTTCTATTATATATTTATACATAAATCATTTTACGTTAAGAAATTTTTCTTACGATCATGTGCTTCATTATCGAAATATATTAAAGATTCAGCATGTGCGGCCCTTCTACATTCCATTACATTGACACTCGGATCTGGCAAAATTTTTAAATGTATGTATTGTAGACGAAGAAATATTTTTCAAATATTTATCCTGATCACTTATTTTGCCAGATCTGACATTGTTATCCGCACAATCCCCAGTATTACAACAAAATGCAACGTTTTCACGCATTCTTCATTACAAAAAATTCCAAGCGGAGAAGATGGTGAGAATTTTGTCTTGCAAGAAATTAATTGCCTGTGGAAAAAATTGAATTTTACATGAATAACAGAATATCCATGGCAAGACAGAATTATCAGTTATAATTATCGAAAAGATGTTTCGTTGAAATCCTGTTGAGAGAAATGTTAAACTTGAAAGTTATGGTTACTGTTATTAAAATGCCTTATGACGTGAATAATCGAGATTTTAAAAAGAATTTTACACCGACCAAAGTGAGTTTGGACAGTAACAGATGGAATAGTTTTTCTATAATGCCTACAGACTATTTAATATTTGTTATTAGCACAATTTGAGTTGATGAGAACGATATATTTGTGTAAATTCAATATGAATAATGAAATCTAATGTAAACCTTCCTAGATGGATAACTTGTAACTATTTGAATTTCTGTTTAACAGCAGAACTGAGAGAATAAATCATCGTGCTTTTAATTGTTGAGTGCTGGTTGATCCAGACACATCGATAATACGCAAAATTTTCAGGAACAACTCTTAGAATATCACATATTTTTCTTGGTAGACGAATTATTAGTTAATGCTTTGCTCGCATATTATTAATCTAAAACCTCCCTAGAATGACGTCTACAGTCATCACATGAATAACCGAGGGAACGGTATATCCCAATATATATCAATTGCACAATTGCCCCGATAGAAGGAAAGAGGCACTACATAGATTTTATTTATTCCCCCTTGCTTAACAACTAATAATTCAATCAGTCTCCATCTCCACAGCCCTTGCATTCTCATTTTATCATGATTATTTCCATTAAATTGTCGATACTAAAATCCTGCAACTTCTATTATTTCATAATCCATAGAAAAATCCCAACGAAGCGCTCCCAAGAAATACCGAATAAATGTTTGCTGTCTCCCGATAGAATAGAATTAAAATTTAGCCGGCGATGTGACAAAACATTAACATTTTTAACAAATCCCATTAATACTTCGTGTCATCTAATTGTCTCCCTTTATGCCAAAGTACTCCAAATGTTTTGTCAAATCATTATGTGTTTAGTTGTAAATCTATTCACAAGGAAAATCTGTGTTTCAATGAGGTAGCAACATTGGTTCAACAATTGAAATGGAATAATCATTGTTGCTACTTAATTTATCCCCTGGTGATGATTAAGCAATGAGAGAAAATTCAACGAGTCCCTCAACGCATTAAAAATTAATGGACAATTCGCACGTCAATATCAGTCAATCGGTGATGATTTTTTCATTGAAATAAGTTAATAGGAACAAACATGCGTCAACAATAAAATTGAACATGATATTAAATTTTTATAGTATGGCTGGAAGTGGAGTACTAACTTCAAGGAGGCCATACAGACCAGTCACGAGTAATTTTTTTCTCATATTAATTCATTATAACTATTATTCTATACTGTTTTATATCTATATCTATATATTTTATCGTCGTTCAATATATTCATTCATTGAGTCATGTGCGACATCATCCTTCACTCAGACGCCTCAAATTATTCTGCTTTGTATACCAGAGATAAATCATTCCAGAATCAGTCCAGAGACAGTTAATCACATCGCGTCGTATTTATTTGAAATAAAATAACCAAGAAGCAGAACAATTTGAATTCTCATCATCGATAAATATTTTTTCGATTACACGTGTTACAGTCGTTTTTAACATCATATTTCAATTTAATTCGTGCTTGTTAAAGTACATTTCTTTTCAACTTTATCTTTATTGAAAATATTTTATTCGGTTATTTTTCATTGCGAGTTACCACGCACTGCTGTTGAAAATTATATCCCTTGTGTACATAAACTCATTTATTCAAATATCAAAATGAAACTGCCACAGTTTGTTAGGTGTTTGGCATTGATAAATACGTGAATGCAGAGATTTTGCATTCTAATTGTTTTATCCAACACTAAAAATCTTTTATTATTATTATTGATATTTTATTTATTATTTTATTTATTATGCAAGAGCATATGAGGAATCGAGAGCTCGATTGTGGTTTTTTCTTGATCTTTGCAATGCGTAGTCTCTTCTTCAAGCGAGACTCATTCTATCTGCCTTCAATTTCTCTCTCATTTTCTATCGGCTTAACAGCAAACTCTTCGCCTATAAAATTTCTCAAAATGATAATTCAATTCCATTCAATCGGTCAATTATTTTTTTGCCGTTAATTATCAACACGAGGGAGTTACAATCAGGAGAAGATTCTTCCCACAAGGCATTCCCTCCAATCCACTTCTTATAGTAAGGTGTCCCGATGTTCAAGGTTTACATTGGATTTCCTCATGATAGAAACAAATTGAAAAACTGGAAAAAAAAACTGCATTTTACCAATGAATAAACATTTCGATGAACAATTGTAATTTAATGCGTGAGTGTCTGTCAAAAAGTAAACAAAAAAAAAAACGAAACTATGTATTCCTCCTTCTCTTCTTATCCGTTTCGCATCTATTGTAATCTGGAATAATCACGAAGAAATAAAATTGGCATTGCTCGTTGCATCTTTAATGAACAACAAAATAGGTGGGTGACTTAAAGAAGTCTTGTCGTCGATGACGGGTTTGATAATTGAATTCAGAAGCAAAATTCATCGATGAAAACGGTGACATTTCTTTTTGCTACACCCTCTTTACAATAAACAACATGAATAAACCGTAGAGTGATAGTGTAACCAAACGATTGATTAATTACTGAAGTAATTAATCCGAATAATTTCATTGCGTTTTATAAAGTCGTATTATTTATTTATTTAGCTTCTTATGACTTATTGGTTTATCCTAATGTGTCTTAACTTAGTATGTAATTTTGGTAACTTCTTCACAGTAATTATCATCTCTCCTTTATCATTAAATTGTACTTTATCGTTTATTTTATTTTATTGTGTTTCATTCAGGTTTGTTGACTTATCAACACGTGAAACACTCTTCTTGCCATTGAATAAATCTCCTATTTTCTCTATAATCCCGTTACTACTGCCTTACTATAAGGATTGGACTGAAGGTTTTGTCTGTGTATATATTTTATTTCATTGGCTCTTTTTTTAAAAAAAACTTTTCTTTTGTTTATGTCATTCACACTCCTATTTTCGTGACGATTTTCCGCATGGGTGAGACAGCATGCTGCACGAGTGCCGGAATATTCATTTGCTGCGATGAATAATTAATGGATAGAAAGCACTGATATGCCAATTTGTTTTATCCATTTGTTTAGTAAAATGGGTAGATTTTTGTGTGTAACGTTTTTGGAGGTGTAAATAAACGACAAGTGACCGACAACGATGAGAAAAAATTACAAGAAAACCGACGTTCTCCCCTAATTTTCATTTTTATTTTTGTTTTTTTTTTTTATGTTGACTAATACTGGACAGCAATCGGTGCCAATTGTAAAAGAGCCTCATACGAGTACTGACTTGTAACACGCACAGCATAAAAATATTGTACATTTGCATAATGACCACAGGTAACTATCTAACAAATTTTATTTCGTTATTTTCGTTATTCTCCATCATATCGGTGTAACGTCGTGCCATTAATTAGCTCAGCCGTTTTTCCATGGATATGATGGATTATATTGTTTTGTTCAGTATTTCAAGTGTCACGCATGTTTTATGCACTTTAGCATGAATAGATTGTACCGAGAGTTAGTAAAAAATTAATTGTACATAAACTCTTGAGGGATATAGAAGTCAGAGATTTTCAGAATCACGCATGAAAAATATTTATTGATAATTCTAGCGTTAACTTGTCAATTGTTAAATTACATTGGGAAATCTGTCAGTTTGATTACACCATGAGAATTAAAGAAAATTTATACAAAATACGATGTTCATGTTATAAAAAATACTTTGTGCACATTTTTCTCGTCTTGACAAGAATGAACATAAAAGTGTATAAAATTCGAATTTCTAATTAAAAACACTCGGAAAATTTGGAAAATTTTGATAAAATCCCAATGGAATTTCCCACCGCTAGAATCTTCTCTCAATATTTTTTGCACGTGACACGAGGTTGCCTGTGCGTACTGAATACCTCAATAAAAATTCAATAGCGAAATGATAAAACGAGAAAAGTCGAGTTATCCAGTATTTAAAAATATAAAAAGAACTATTATTCTTAATTAATAAATTGCTCAAAGAATATAATACCATTCAATTGATAAATAATCAATTTTTTGCTCAGATTTCTATAATGCCCCCATAAAAAAAAACCAAAAATAATTACAGAATTTACACTCTACAAATAATTAATTCGAATGATGGATTCCTAACGTAAATATAAAAATCGACAACCTGTCAGTTTCTCATTTCGCTCCTGAATTTGCCCTCTGGCTGTGAATCTTGAGCGTTCCGCCTTCCAACCCCCGAGGACCCGGAAAATCTCTAGAGTCGAATGCCCGAAGGCCGGAAGATGCGCCCGAGAAAAGAAAAAAAAAATACTAAAACCACTGAAACCACCTGCACATAACGAATGAACCAAAAACCATAGGCAACGATAGACAGTAAATACTCCCCGAGTACTGACTGAAACCTTAATTGACAGACAACTGCCCCTGTGCCAGCGGAACGCACTGTCCTGGGGTCAGCGGGCGTCATCGGGGGAGGGTCCCACCCTGGTGAATCATCCACCCCCCATCAGCAGCGTCCGGAGAACGCACTCGACGCTCTGCTAGATGAACTTCAAACCTTCTCTCGTCCATCATCCCAACTGTCCCAAGTGTCATCAACAAGCCACCCAACAAATCACATCCCAAATCTCATTGAAATCGGTAGATCCTCATCGCAAATAGTGCAATCGAGTGTGCGCCCACCAAATATCTCCGAGATCGGTCGCAAGGGTAGTATAGATTCATCAGGAAGTATCGGTATAATACCAACGAGTACAACCCTACGTCGATTGCACTCATACCCCTCGAGCTCCGATACAGACACATCACCACCGATAGCAAGACTCCAGGTGTCAGATGGTACAGCAGCACCACAAAAGCCACCAGTTCCCGAGCGAAACGCCGAGCTTTTGCAATTGGCAACAGCCAGAAGAGTTCCACCTCCACCCCCACCAAGAACAAGCTCCAGATCACCCCTGGCGAGTCCCACGAGTCCACAATTGCCACCGAGAAATCCAACGGGAACCCTGAGAAGAGGTCGACCCAATGCCAAGGAGACGGGAAAGCCACCGATGGCACTACCACCAGGAGCTCCACCATCTGCAGATGAAACTGGACAGAATCAGCCCCAGAACAATATCCTCTCGACATCCAACTCCAGCTCCTGCGAGAGCATCAACTCTCAGGAAGGGGTGCAGAATAAAAAGGGCAGGCAGGAGCAGCTGGAGCAGCGACACCAGGAACTCCTCCGAAAGCAGAAGGCTCTACAGGAGCAGTACGCAAGACTTCAGCAGCTTCAGAGAAATACATCGGGATTAACGACTGTTCCACCAACTCCACCCGATCTACTCAAGAAAACCGGCTCCGAGAGCAATTTACTCGCTAAAATGGGCCTGAGCATGAGCGCTGCCAATTCTGGATCTCTCACGAGTCTCACAACACCGAAGAACGATCAGACTGTCAATGATAATCAGGTACAGGCACCAGCTGTTGGCAATCAAACTACAACAAGTAAGATTTACGAAACTGATATTCTGTGACCGATAATCGACAGGCTCACTGGATACTTCATTTTTCTCTTTGAAATCAATTTTTCTTCATGAGAAATAATCATGTCAAGTCCCTCGATTCGTTATCTATTTTCCTGTTACTAATCACGCGATTATTATTACAATTGAGTGAAGAATTTTTACTCAATTCTATTATGAAATTATTGTGGAGGATTATAATGGGTTACAATGTTGCGAGATTATTTGTTGCGTATATTTAATATTATTATTGATAATCTGTTTTTGGGAATTGGAAATTTGTTTATGGGAGATTTGTCATGCGCTTGTCGAAATTTAAATGTTGAAATTTTATTTGCTTGCGTATGACAGGGAAGAGGAATTTTTCATGGGGTGTTTAATGGATGTTGTAGCTTTAGCTACTCGGATGAGGGTAGATATGAGCTTGGAAGGAATATTAATGAGCTCGACGAGTGCCAGGGTGTAAATACTCGAAACCTTCATTGAAAGAATAATCACGTTATACCATAGAAATAAATAGGGGTGCGTATTTATAGATTGCAGATTAAACCCAGGAGGATTATTCATTTAGACGAGAAGAAATAAAATTCATCCATCAATTATCTCTACCGTTGAATAACGAATTTAATCAGATAAGAAATATTTAATGCTCGGTTTTGGCTGTTAAATTGTTTAGATATATGTCATCGCGGGATGCGCACCGGTTGATAATTCCTGGGGATTCCCCGTGTACGTGAAAAAAACAAAAATCACTAATAAAAAATTCTCACATGGATTATATGTGTAATGCGTAATTGCAATTACGATTTTTCAGTCGTTAACGCATTAAAAGCATTAATCTGATATTAATCGTAATTAGTAGTTGTAATATGATGCAGATTGGAAAATTTAAATGATCAGTGTGAATGGGAATTAGTCGGGAGGACGTACCGTATAAATTAATCATTCATATTCAAAACCCATAGAGCGATAATAACAGATTAAATAAATGTGTGAGCTATACGAATTATTGAGAGTGGTGAGGTGTGAAGAGGAGATTCAATGAATTGTAACGACTTATATGAGTGTTTCGTGGGGCTTATCATGCTCAAGTCTCCGTGGCTGAAGTAATCAAGAGAAAAACAAAGCATTAATTAAATGAAGTAATTAGTTGACATAACTGCATTAACATTTAACTTCCCTCCATTCACTTCCAGAATTGAATAAAAATAGAAATTTGATGTTGTTTGTGAATGGAGAGAGGATGATTATCATTCTAATCATTTACATCACGAGAATCTCATGTCGACATGAATGTTATGAGTATCCACAACTATCCACATATATATATATAGAAATACATAATATAATATGCACGTATAATAAAAATGGAAGTCAGAGAGTAAAATCACTATTGCAGGATGCCATAATGAATTAGGAAGTTTTTTCAACAGATATAAATTCGAGGAGTAGATGACACTTCACTCAATAGAATAATCCCATCAGACAGAGAGAGAGAGAGAGAGCGAGAGAGAGAGAGAGAGAGAGAGAGAGAAAGAGAGAAATTTAACGAAAATCAGATTACTGTGCCAATTTTAGGGTAAATATTGAATTTCCCCGTTTTGCTAGGTATTTTATTTCCAGGTGATTTAATTTTATTTGCCGTGGGAACAATTAAGCAATAATACAATCAATCGTTAATTTATCACCTATCACTTGCATATCTCTCGAACTCATCGATTTTGTATAAATGTTTAATCATTTAACAAATAAAAAAATAAACAAATGGCGATCATTCTAAATGTGGGTCTGATGAATTCTTCAGTAGAATCGAAGAAATTGCTCAAGATAATGTTGAATAAATGAAGTGAATTCAGCCTTCATCTACAGTATTACTTGATAATACTTATCATAGTGACTTTGAGAAATTAGCCCCCTTATCCACCTCCCATCACCTCAGATCTCTTCGATTTTTTCAGGTATCAGTAGTATCTATGCCATGACAATTAAGTGTAGATATTCAGATAAAAAGACTAAGGGCACGTATAATTCCATGGAGTGAAATAATATCGTTTACATCAAGTTATTGATGAATCTCTTGACTAATTAGACTTTCATAAATCATTTTTTACACTCTGATCAATAGGGTAGTGATAAATACTTGACATTGAATTGTTGCCGCACAATTTCGTTGAAATTTCGTTGAGAGGCCTAATAATTTTATTAGTTTTCTCATTCCTTCCGTTGCAATGCACAAATTATAATCGCTAGAGGAGGAGAATAAAGATAAATCATAAATACTCTTTGATTCAACGCAGAAGTCATTACCGTTAACGAAGTATTCCAAACCTAATCAATAAAATATGTAGTACATGAAAAAATTTGTACAAATGCATCTCGCATGATTCATTGGCACCTGTTAGGTAATTTTTTTCATTGTCAATATTGTGCGGTTATTGTCCCGATGGATAATCAAATTAATGAAACGATTATGGATACTTGTATCGTGCTCACGTTAGATTAACAACTGAAATGAAGATTTTTCATGATTGGAGGGAACAGTTGATGGAAAATTGGGACATTAGTGTAATAATCTATTCTGAACGGTAATGTATGCCAAATTGAATTGAATTGTTACATTTGTAAATGTTTGTAAGTAATATATAGTTATAATAAAATAATCGACTATTAATTTATGAAGTGGAAATTTATGAATGAGAGAGATACCTTTGAACAACGAATAAAGCACAAAATATCATATGATTTGAGGGTAGAATTATTTATTTTTTCGCGGAGAAAGAACAGACCTGTTTTTTTAATCAGTTTATTAATTAATAATATATTTTTGTGGGTTATAATCAAAATTATTGAGTCAATCAAACCCATGGGCTTTCTTCACTCCCGATTCAACAGTTTTTCGCGTCTTTATGAGTTCATTGTAGGCGTTCAATGCAGATGTTAATTTACCTCTGCTCGCTGCATCGGTTTCGATGTATTTTTGAATAACATCGGTATGATTTCCTGTGGAGTCAAGTCCTGATTTTGATGATCGGTGGATTCTGTAGAAGAGATCGATGAGGAGAGCTGCATCTTCGATGAATTCTCGTGTAATATTCTCGTAGAGGAGATTGTCAATATTTTTTGTGAGAGCTAAATGAAATATTAAAGGTCCGTAATGCCGGGTGGATCGTAGTCTGTCGTATTCTTTCTCAGAATCCACCGCGTTGTAAACAATTCTCACGATCCGCTGATATTCGGGATCGTCTGGCTCAAACTGAGTGCATGCACGATCCAAGATAAATTCGTAGTCCTTACGGTTGAGTATCTCCTTTGAAATTGAGAAAAAACAGAACAAATATCTCATTTATGCACTAATTACAATTTTTTTCCTTAATTTTCAATAGTAATAATATTAATGCTTTAAAATTATCGCATATTCATGCAAAAATTGAGACATAATAAAATTAACAATGGAGTTGATGGAAATAAAATACCTGAAGATGCTCATCCTGGAACATTTTCGGTGTGAACATCTCCCTTCCCTCAATTGGAAAATAAATATGATTCATTCTGAATCTCTCGTCCCAATCGGCTTTTCTCAACTTGCCATCGGGATCTCTAACAACGATCAAACGATTGGCGTCAGTCACACCATAAGTAATATCAGTGAAAACGTATTTACTCTCGTCGAAGCCTTGGAGGGCTGGATCCTTGGAGAGGACCTCAGTAATGGGTTCTCGCTCTTTAACAACTGGTGGCATTTGGAGCCTTCCCTCGAGCTTCTTCTGGGCTTTTCGCAGGGCCGCCTGTAGTTCCTCATCTGTCATGAATTTGTACCTTGGGTCTTTCATTTTATGGCCATCCTTTCGACTTCGGAAGACCTTCTTTGGGTCTGGACGTGTCAGGGTCTTCAGGATTTTCTGGATTTGTTCGTTGAAGAACAACGGAGCTGGATCTTCCTCTGGAGTTATGATTGATTAACAAAAAAAAATACATGTAATCCAGACAGAAATAAAGTTTTCTCAGAAATTCATGGAGTGGAGAAAAATATTTCTTTTAAAAATCCACGTGGGATGATCAAACAGTTTTTAATATAATACTATTTTATAAATTGAATAGGGTTTCAGTAGTGAATAAATAAAGCCAGTAACCTTAAATACAGATAAAATTAATACCATAACCTATAAGTTTCGGACAGTTTCACTGCTTAGGATTCGTACGAATTAATAGTGTACCTGGATTTGTAACAGTAGAATTCGGCCTCCGGCATTTTCCAAAGCCCATGAATCTCAGCTTTGGCAGAATCATTGCAGAATTTCTGACAAACATTCTTGCAAGTTCCATTTCAATTTCTCATCACCGACACCCAAGGAAATCACACAGTATATTTTTCCCAACCTCCGGAGCCCTCTGACACCTCTCCCAAAAATTACAGTATATCCATAACAATTACCTCTGAAAAAATTCACAGAACCGTGAGGATAAGAAAAATAAATAAATAAATAAATAAAACAATAGGAGAAGGTTATGTTCTTCAACAACAATTAAATTATAAAATTCCAAAACGGAAAAAATATGGTTCGGGCTCAACTGGTGATAACCCCCTGGAAATACCTGTCGTTTTCTCCGAAGCCCTTGAAGACCAATTTTTTTCATTCCACTTCCTCTCAACAATCAGAGACTTCAAAATGTGGATGGAAAGTCCTGTTCTTTGGAACCGATGAATTCGCCCTGGAGAGCCTTAAACGACTGCACCAAGAATAGTGAGTAATTGCAGACTCTTTTACTGATAAATCAATAATAACATAACCAGCAGGTCAAAGAGGCATGTCAATCACCTGGAGGCTGTGACAGCTTACGAGGGAGATGAAAATGCCGTGACTAAATATGCACAAGACCACGGAATCAAAATTCACCACTGGCCTATGGAGGCTTGTCTGGACTTTGATATTGGACTGGTGGTCTCCTTCGGGCGCTTGATACCCTCCAGAATCATTAAATCATTTCCACTGCAAGTATTGATTAACCAAATTCTCTTTAATTCCACTTTTTCCCATTTATTTCTCTGTTATTTCCTCCTCTTTGGAAAATTTGTGACCGAATTTTTAATATTACTCCCGAATTGTCATTTCATCATTGTTTTTCTCTCTATGGCTAGAAAATTTGATGATAAACGCAAGGATTTTGAGAATTCCAATCTTCTATGGGATTTTTGTCAGACATTTTTTAGTATTTTTTTTTTAATTGTATTTAGATATTTTGATGAATTTTTCAAGATGGATTGACTTTTTTTTGCTTTTTGGATCGCAGAGGAATGATAAATGTTCACGCGAGTTTATTACCGAGATGGAGGGGAGCAGCGCCGATAATTCATGCCCTTATGAATGGGGATAGAACGACTGGAGTGACAATCATGAAGATTGCACCGAAAAAGTACGAAAAATCTTCGTTTTCCCGTCATACTACGCCCTAATCGTAAAAAATCGTTCTTCTGAGTGGAAACAATAATTTTTTATTCCTAGATTCGACGTAGGAGAAATAATCAATCAAAAAGAAATTCAAATAGACGATCACGAGACCCAAATACAGCTGCACAAAAGACTAGCGAGTATGGGTGGAGATTTACTGATGGAAACGTTAGGAAAATTGCCAGATATAATTAATTCGGGGATAGCCCAGTCGCCCGAGAATGTAACATATGGTACGGTCAACTCGATTTATAATTCAAAACGAGAGTGAACGAAAAATTATAATTATTGAAATTCCAGCTCCAAAAATACAGAAAAATATCTCTATCGTGAAGTGGAAAGAAATGACAGCGAGAGATGTTTATAATCTCCAAAGGGCCCTCACTGGAATATTTCCACTGAAAACAACATTTCAAGGGAAGTCTGTCAAGATCTTTGGAGTGAAATTAGTCAAAAAAATCCCGAGAGACTGCTATGAACGTGAATCGAATCCTGGTTGGTAATTTATTGATTTCTTAATTGATTTATTGATTTCTATTGTTTGAGAAATTATTCAAGGTTCTAAAGTATTGTTTAAACATTTATTGGTTTAACAGGAAAAATCTACTACGACAAAAATGAAGGCTCGCTGCTCGTGCAATGTAAGAACGACAGTTGGGTGACGGTCGACGAAATTGCGTTGGCTGGAAAGCCAAAAATGTCAGCGACGGACTTCAACAATGGATTTTTCAAGAATCGGTGGGACAGAGTGTTATTTTTTGGAGTAGAACAACAACCCAACAATGAAAACAAGATAAACAAAAGAGTATTGAAGTTATGAGATAATAAACGAACTGATTAAATTTGATTGTCTGGTTTTCCCAGAATGCCCACACGAGGAAGAAAATTCATTCATTCAATATTAAGAAAGAATATACAATTACCGATAGTTTTTTTTTCATAAATCACAGTGATTCCCCTTAGAAGGACATGAAATCGATTCGAAAGGGAAAAACAATTTCGAAATCGAAGAGGTATTCACTGAAATTTGAAAATTCGAAATTTTCAAAAAAGTATCAGGAGAGCATGAGAATCAAGGAGGTATTCACTGAAATTTGAAAATTCAACATTTTTGAAAAAGTATCAGGCGAGCATGAAAATCCAGGAGGTATTCACTGAAATGGAAAAATTCGAAATTTTCAAAAAAGTATTAGAGGAGCATGAAAATCGAGGAGGTATTCACTGAAATTTGCAAATTCGAAATTTTTGAAAAAGTATCAGGCGAGCATGAGAATCGAGGAGGTATTCACTCAAATTTGAAAATTAAAAATTTTTGAAAAAGTATCAGGAGAGCATGAAAATTTACTGAAATTTGAAAATTCGAAATTTTGTACTAAAAAACAAAAACCAATTACGTAATTCAGAAAATAACATCCACCCCGTCGATTGATCCCTCTGACAGCGAGACTGCTACCGAGGTAGTTACCGAGTCGGCTGACAGGTAGACACGCCAGTGTAAGGTAGGATACAAGCAGGTATTGTCAAGCCAAAAACAGGAGACAAGTTCTTTCAGGCGGCACGAGACAGCGCGGCGGTCACTATCACCTTCCCCTCAACTCCATGTCATCCCCACTCTGCAGCTGTTCGGCACTGGTGGGACTATTTAAAAAATGATAATTTAAAATAGCAGGAAAAAATGGAAAATATGGCCTTGGTGTATGGGATGTATGGTATCTACATGACCTCAAAGTTTCAAAAATAGAATAAACTATAGAAGCATTACCCAGTCTCCAAAAATCAGGCAATAACAATAAATAAATTGATTCCTCTTATTTTTTATTAAAAAATAACAGCAACTTACAGCTGATGCAGCAGTTTTCGCAAACGAACCGGCACTCGAGCTGACGGGATTAGAAAACAGAACGTAATTCAATGTTTCTGATACTCCCATTCCCGTTTCAGAGATCCAATCGAAGTGTTTTTGATGGTCAAGACCAAAATCCACACGCTAAATTCTCTTCAATCAATTATTTTTCACTGACTATTGGATTTTACGTGATTGCACTGTTTTTTTTAAGAGAGAATTATTTATTAGGTTAAGAATTTTCGCAATTATCGTATCTCGTCAAATTGAGACTGCCCGCGATGTTCCGTGCGCATGGACGGTGTGCGTGCGTATGCACGGAGTATCGCCTGGCGACCCCCACTCGAGCGGTCCTCTGTGCGCATGCGGGGTGTCCTGTGCGCACGCGCGGAGTCTCGCCGGGGGACCCCCCACTCGAGCGCCGCCTCCAAAGCCCTGCCATTTTCAGTGGGGAGTCAGTCGTTCCGCGACCGCGCGTGGAACGGGTGGTCGCGTGTCGCGTACTTAAAATTCGTTAACATCGGGGTCCTAGTGAGCGCAAAAAACCGGCGCCGCCTGTGAACATTGAAAATACAAAGTGCGGGACTCAGTGCAAGTGATTTTGTGAATTGTTTAGTGTGTGTTTAGATACGGACTAAAGTGACAGTGCGAATTAGATTCGAAGGATTACTTTTCTCATTCATTTTATTTTGAATGATTAAAAATCTTATTTGATCTTTGTGGATTTTGAGTTGATAAAACATTCTTGGTTGTGTGGTGAGTGATTAGTGAATTTTTGAACTGTCTCGAGTGCTGGTGCTTCCAAGCCGTGAGCTTCAACCTGAGATCATCAGGATTGGAGGGAATCTTGCAACCGACTGCAAGGTGAGTTTCGTATGCATT